TGAAGAGATGCCCCAAAGTGAGATTCTTGCCCGTTAAAAGGGGAAACCCACTCCGTTGGCAAGATCAATTCTAGTCGCAACCTTTGAAAATCAATAGATGTAAACTCTAGAAAACCCAAATATGCTGCTACCTTGTGGTGCCTTGGGTTGGAGTTTCCAAAGCAAGACAACGACAAGATGAAGGAGGAGATCAAGAGGAGGAAGGGGGGGTAAGAAGAAAGGAGGGATGAAGGAACTCCTCTGTCAGAGAGAAACCCTAAGGAGGAAAACTCACCGCCACTACTCTCAACTCTAGAAGTAGTGCACGGGAGGAAATTAGATTAATTGTAAATTTAAATTAGAAATTTAATAAGTTGAAGTTATAATTTTAAACAAATAACCTAATCTAAATGAGTTTTTATTATACAAAACTAAAATTAGATTTGAGTAAGATTTTTTAATTTTGTTTATCTTGCAGATAAATTAATTATTTTAATTTAAATTTATTTAATCTTCAATTTTTGTCTAACAATGAGAAGTAAATGGATAATTACCATTCTAATTTAAAGAAGAAAATATTGAAATCTCCAAATAGGATCACAATTTAAAATTAAATTAAAAAAGATTAAAATCCTCCACTAATATGTAGAAGAGATATTTAGGCACTAATAAAATTTCAATCTTCCATAAAAAAATAAAAATAAAATTTTAGTCTTTTTTCAATATTTAGGCTTTGATGTATTGGAGATTTAATAGAAAAAAAATTTAATTAGTATTGAAGATAAGTTTTATTGATTTATTAATTTGAAATTTAAAAAGATAATACAATAAGATTAATTATGAATTTAAATTAAAAATTTAATAAAGTGAAGTTTAAATTTCAAATAAATGGTCTAATCTAAAAAGGCATTTTTATGTAAGATTTAAATTAGACTTAAATAATTCAATTGAAGATAAGTTTCTTTTTTTTTTATTTTTATTTTTTTGTTGTTAAAAAAAAAAAGACTTTTCAATTTTGTTTATCTTGTAGACAATAATTTTAATTTTAATCTATTTAGTTTTCAATTTTCAACTAACAATAAAAAAGTAAAAAAATTAAATAGATAGTGATGAGCTAAATTTATATATATATATTAATGTGAAATTTTTGCCTTGATATTATTAATATTTGGATGAATTTTATGAGATTTTACAAGGTTTTCATTTTTTGTGCAGAAAAGGACTTGAATGCATAATAATAGGAGTTTTAGGATTAATTGAATATCTTATGAAAGTTGAGGGACTAAATTGCAAGAAGAAGGGCTATTTGGGACCTCAATGAGTGAATCTTGAGTTTTGGGATCTAAGTGTTCATCGTACAAAAGCTGGAAGACCAAATCTGCTATTTTACCATTGAAGAAATTGCAAAAGGAGACCAGAAGCTCGACACGAGTGTAGTATCGACACATAATCGGGGTGTCAAGACCATGCGTTAAACATCCAGAATTAAACTCTGTTTCCTATTTTGTATCGACACGTAATTCAGGGTGTCAGCACCGTATGTTCAGCATCCAAAATTCAAGTTCCTTATTTTTGTTCCAAGTCCTATTTCTATTTCAATTAGGGTTTCTAAAATCCTATAAATATGCATCCAAATTCAGAATTAAGAAAGCTAGTGGAGGTTGGTGGTAGTCCTTTTTGGGCATTGTTGGAGGCCAAGATAAAAGATCTATCAACAATAAAAAATTAAAGATTTTAATTACCTCAAATTAGGTTTTGTTTTCCCTTAAATATTCTTATGTTCAAAATTGTGATTTTAGATTTTATTATTTTTATTATGAACTAATTTTTTTTATTAAGGCTATGATGTAGCATAATCAATTTAATATAGATTTTGCGATTTTGTACTTTCAATTAAAGTTATTTGCATAAGGAGTTTATATTGTTGAACTTAATACATTAGAAGCCTGATCACCTTTCAATTGATTTAGTGATTTATGCATGAACTTGAGAAATAATTGTCTAAATTAGACCAATAATAATATAAACCGTGTGCTAGACTATGAGACCGAGACGTAATTAGCTCACATGTGGTAGTGGAGGAAGAGAATAGAGTTAGGAGCTCCCTTAAGCTAGAGGTTTCCATAAAATTTAATGCTTATTCGTTTGTTTAAAATTATATAGAAATATAATTAATTTAACAAACAATTGAAGAATTAACTTGACTTGAGAAAGCTAGTTAATTAATTTAGGGAAATCCGTCATCACATGCAATAACACTCAACAAATTAGCATATTAATCCAGAGTTTATATTGATTGATTATGGTAAAATCAATGTCTTAGTACCTCATATATTGGATAGTTTTATTTTAATTGTTAGTTTCTTTTTGTTATTTTAATTAAAATCCCCTCTTTTTGATTGTTCAAATAAATTTAAATTAATTATTTTGGCACTTAATTAAACACAATCCTCATAAGTTTGACACTCTATTCATCATTATATTACTTAGACCGACTAGTAAACTTGCTAAAGTGATTTTAGTGCATCAGATAGTCATCATTTTAATTTAAAAAAGAAAATATTAAAGTATCCAAACAAGATCACAATTTAAAATAATTTTTTTTAAAAAGGGATTAAATTCAGTTGATAAATGAAAGAATTATCTAGACTCTAATAAAATTTTATTTTTTATTTTTTATTTTTTATTTTTTAGGCCTTAATGCATTTTGGGCCTTAATAGTAGCAAAATCTATATATATATAATGCTACTATATGCATTAAATAGGATATATATAAATAAAATAATAATAATTAAATAAATATATATATAATATAAGTAACCAAAAAAATTAATCATTTGGTAGATGAAGAGGTAAGACCTTGACCAATTAATTTCTCAAAGGAAGATAATTTAGATGAATATTATAGT